AAAAAAAAAAGCAAGGATGGCATACCGCACGGTGATGTAGCTTTTGATCTTTTTCCAACAGGCGAGTGGCTCCTTTAGAAAAAAAAATCAAGAGGGAAAAGGGGCACAAAACAGGTGAGTCTGGCAAGGATGGAGCCGAGCAAAGGTGCGTGGCTGCCTCGGAATTTACGGAAGGTGAAAGCGGCTGGCAGAGGTTCCCGACATTTCTTGTGCAAGCCAGGCGAGCCCAGGGAAAGCCCGCTTATGCGCCTTCCGCATGGGCATGCTACACTATGTGAGTTGGCGTACCGAAGACTCGCCTAGTCGGTGGGGCGTCGGTGGACGTTGCCATGCCGAGCAGGCTATGCTTGATGCAAGCTGCATAGGGGCCTTCTCTGTAGTCGTCCATCTGGCGTGAGGTGGCTTGACGTTGACCATTGTCGCTGAATGCGCCGATATCACCGTCATTAGCTTGCTTCTTGGCGTGGCTGACACAGCTTCGTGCGCTTTGGTGCGCCCACATCGGATCGCACAATGGGCTGGCACCGCACTCTGGAGGAGCCCCCAAACTTGACAGTTTTTTGGCACCTTTCACGATCGAGAGAATTCGCCGTTCGAGCATGCTGTGTACTTGTCCATACGAGCCATTGGAGCATCGAAGACCTGCTGGCGTGTACAGCCGCAAGTCTGAACCAAGGGCACGGGGACGGACGATGGACTTTGCGTCGCCTCGACTTTTGGCGGACCTGGGTGGCTGGAGAGGGTTTTCTGGGTGAGGCGCGATGCACTCCACCTTCTGTGCTCGGCGGCTGCTGTGCAGGAAACCGGATCACCTCATTTGTGGGCTGCCTGCTCGGAGGGCGTGGCTCGGCTGTACAACGGCTATCCTCCCCTCGCCGCGCTGCGGTTGGGCTTGCAGCTGCGAGCCAGTGCCAGAAAGCGAGCGGCCTGCGACCGTCGAGATCGACGTTCAACAGAGCATCAGTCTACCATGCACGCGCGAATCCATAGCCGTACGCAACTCGGATCCAGACCCGTTGTCTCGTAGCTCGTCTGCATGAGCAGCAGCTGCAGCCGTTACCGCTCGTGCTCCCCTTTCTGCTCCTGCTGCTCCTGCTCCTGCTCCTGCTCCTGCTCATGTTTCGGCTGCAGCTTTGAGCCTGTCCTGGATGAACACAAGCCGTAAGGTTCCCGCATCGGATGCTGCCCGCATTGTCCAAACACGCAACCTCGCCCAGGGGTGCAGCCGTCACGCCTCGTGCGCCTCTTCGGGAATCCTACCGACCGGCAAGTCAATCCCACGCATGTGACCGCGCTGCCGCAACTCGACCGTCTCTGCTCCAATTGGCATCCATCTCCCTTCCTCTCCGCCCATCACCATTAACATCAGAGCCAAAAAGCAGCTGAGCCCTCTCCAGAACGGCTTATCGCACGCATCGTTCTCCTTCGCTATTCGCCGTGGCCGAGGGGCACCAAGTCGCAGAGGCAAAATCGCCAAAGGCCAATCGGGCGGCGCTTCCGATCGCCCTTCGCGGTCTCCAGAGCCTGGCCTCGTATTCTTGTATCGTCACCGTCTCGCTCTTCCTTTGCCTCGCGCCTCGTGTTCCGACCATCTCGAACGCACCACCAGCTGATCCGGTGCACTAGAAGTCCTCTCCGCCATCACTAGACAGCAAGTCTATCCATCGCACAATTCGGACGATCCGTCACGCCAGCGTTTGCAGCCACTTGCTGTCGCTTGCTCGATCTGTGGTCTTCCTCTGCCGACCCTCTGCACCTTGAGGCTCAGACAGACCTCGCGAGCGTAGGCTCTGCGCATCGACTTCTTCCAAAACCGACCACGTCCGCGCGACGCCTTGCCCATCATTTCGTCCGTCACCGTCGAGCGTGCTCTGAGCAGCAGAAAGCTCCTGGCGCCCAGTGGCATGGACCGGCCTCCATTCTCAGATGATCCGCGTGCCTCGGCACCCCGGTCTTCCGCGTCCAGGCCACAAGCGGCAGATGCACAGAGAGGATCGGATCGACTGCCTCCCGTGCTGCCTACGAGCAACTCGCTGCCCGCCATGCTCTTCGGCCGATCCGAACGACTTCCGCCTCTCTCCCACGCTCACCTTCCTCCGATCAAGGAGCCCGACGTGCCATCCTATGCCAACCACCGTGCCTACGCTCCGGCCCTCGGTGAGAGGCATGGCTACGATGCCCTCCGTCGGCCCAGCCCACCTGGCCATTCCGTCCCCGTTGGCATGGTTTCCGCCGATTACACCCACTCAAGAAGGTCTCCTGGAGAAAGCGGCGCGCTGCCCTATCATCCCACGCATCTGCGACATCCGGATCCGTACCGTCAGGAGCCGCCGACAACCCACGCCGGCTCCCACGCCGCCCACCACATGCGTTACGATGCACCATCAGCCCACATGCGCCACCCATCCGAACTCGAGCCTATTGCATCCAGCACGCCTATCAAGCGTCCACGCGTCTCTCTTGCATGCCTCGCCTGTCGCAACCGCAAGTCTCGCTGCGATGGCGTTCGCCCAACATGCAAGACCTGCGCCAACATGAGTAAGTGACTTGGCGCACCTCGGCTCCAGCGTCAGCCTCAGAGACAGCTTGACTGACCCCTTGTATACACCCATCTTCTTCTTTGCTTCACGGCAGAAATCGACTGCAAGTGGCCCGAGGTCGACTTCCGTCGTGCAAAGACAGGAGACGCCGCTCGCACCCGCAAGAGGAGCCCCACCGGCCCGTCGGGTCAGCGATCGCCAGAATCCTTGGAGCACAGAAGCCGCCATTTGACCGACGTTGCCGCCGAGGGCCGCGGCCTGGTATCCTCCGACCGCCATTCCTCGGATGCCCTGGCCTCGTCGCCTTCACTGCCTGCTCTGCCCATGGGCGCTGCTTTGCATCCCCGTGCGGGCCCTCAGGCAACCAGCCCCGTTCAGAGTCGCATCGGCCGCTATCGGACGCATTCCGACGGTGACCGAGACGCTCGGTACGCGGATCCTGCGATCAGCCGCAGTCCCTCCGAGAGGCACCTGCTGCCCTTTTATCCTCGCGACGGTCGCGCCGATACATACGACAGGATGGAAGCTCAGACACGCCCGTACAGCTCGGGAGGCGTGCCGGGCTCGCGGCTTGATCCGACGGCATCGTGGATGCGCCAAGAACGCACAGATTCGCATCCTCACGACGTTCGCACCCCTTACGACAGCCATCCGAGCAGACCCGTGCGGAGCTTGCCAGAGCTGCGCATGACGCCAACAACGGCAGCCTTGATGAGATGCAGACAAAGGGCCGCCGAGGTCGCCGTACTTGCACGGCCGGCTATCGATCCGCAGCGTACGGCCGTGGAAGCACATCTGCTCCGCGAACGTTCTCTCGAAGACCTCGCCGATCGAGCCTCACCGGGCGAGCGTCTGGATCGCGCTTTCGCCGCCGATTGGCAGATTCTGGGAGGCTTATCTCCAAACGCACGACGTCCCTTTATGGACGTCGCAGCTGGCATCGTGGGCATCATCGAAATCTTCGGCGAGCATGCCCCGCACGGCGTTGCACCATCGCCTCCACAAGATGCTCGCCTGCACATCTTTCGCCTGCGCGCCGCCTCGGCCCTACAGCCGGACCTTCGCCATGTAAGCGTGGCTCTGGATCTCTCTCCACAAGAAAAGGACGACCTGCTCGAGGCTTCCTCGTCCGCCTACGACACACTCAGCTACGCGGTTCCAGTCGATCGCCTCTCCTGGCCGCTCTCTAGCAGCGTTCGGCGCGCCTTGGCAGTGCATGCCACCGAGAGCGCACAGGCCGTCGGTTCCACTCAAACGTCGCCCGTGCACCCATCGGCACTGCCAGCCTCTGACGTCGTCCCTTTCCTGCGCCAGGAAGATGTCAAGCCGCCTCAGAAAGTTCTCGAGCTCTGCTTTGCTGCCTACACCAGGGCCGTCGGAGAGCAGGTGCCCGGCTTGGACACCGAGGTGGTTGCGCAGCGCATCCGCGACGGCTCCATCTCGGCGCTGCTGGCCAATGCGATGTGTGCCATCGGAACTAGTCTCTACGAGCGCGCAGGCGAGCGCCTGCCGGTTGCCGAAGCCCTCGGCAGCAAAGTCTACCTCCGCCGCTCGCGTGCCCTGATCGGTGGCGCCCTGCAAAGCCCGGATCTAGAGGCCATCTTGGCGCTCGGCGTCATGGCCATCCGCGACATCCTCATGGGTGAGATCGTGTCGTCGGCCGCCATTGTGTCTTCGGCCATCCGTCTCTGCATGCAGTTGGATCTGCATCGCACGCGGCCCTCGACGCCTCCAACAAGTGCAGATGGCCAAGAGGGTGCAAAGAAGCAGGGCTTGCGAGCCGACGATGTCTTTTGGATGATCTACTGCTTGGATCGCATCACCGCGCTTGCAACGGCGAGGCCGCTAGCGATCAAGGACCACGAGATCGACACCCCATTCCCGGCAACGCTGCGCAAGGGAGAGCCTTCAATCTTTGCTGCGCTCGTTAGGCAGCTGCATTACCTTGGCCGTCTTGCCGAGGTGGCCATCTCGGCTCCCGTGGGCCCTGGTGGCAATCCCGAGCGTCAGCGGGTCCGCGATGCCGAGATCGCTGCCGCGGGAGCCGATCTGGTCGGTCACTACGAGTCACTGCCTTCGGTTCTCCAGCTGAGTCCTGCCAATCTTGAAAGGGCTCAGTCGAAGGGCGAGGCGCTCTCGTTTCTGCAGCTGCACCTCACTCACAATATGGCGCTCCTGCATCGCTTCCTGCTGTCCGAGGCCCACATCACCTTGTCAGAGCACGATGCCATGCGCTCTGCCGTCCACAAGACCGCCGAGATTTGCCGCCTCGGTGAGGCGTTCAACCCGGACCTCCTTGCTGACACGCCCTTGTCGGCTGTGGCATGCTTCTTGGCTGGATGCGCCTCGCTCTCCGAGATCGAGTATCTGCAGGAGGTGATGGAGTTGCCGTCCCGCGGCGAGGATCGCTCTCGGGCCCAGCAGGTGCCCCTCGACCACACGCGCGCCGACATGGAGCAGCTGCTCGAGACGATGGGCAAGCATGCCAAGCTATGGCCCGTGGCGCTCAGACTCGTCAGCCTGCTCGAGACGCAGTTGCGCTCGGGCGCCACGGCCGCGTCGTCGTCCACCGTAAGCGCGCTCGTTTCGCAGGTCGAGGCGGTCCACGTGGTAGTTCGACGACCCAAGGAAGCGAGCGACCGCGGAGCTGCCAAGGCGAGTCCGGTTCAGGTGCGCAGGATCCATGATCTCGAGATCCTCCGCGCCGCCTTTCCGCACCTGTGTTGATCTTATCCCACTTAGATGTAGTACCTGCATGCCGCGACAGCGATCCAGCTGTACTAGACATTATGAACGGCAACTTTGAAGATGCTGTTTATACGTGCTGCTGTGGTGTCCATGAGTTTCGTCATTTCGCTGAGACTGGCGTGTGCATGAGCGATGGTCTGGTCGTAGCAGAGATGGACTGTGACGAGATCTAGATGAGTCTGCGGTCGGCCATGACGCGGACGATGCAACCTGTTCCTGCCACCTCGGTCAGCTTTGTGTGCAAAAAAACGGCGTCAGTGGTCTGGGGAGCTAGGGAGAGCTCGGATATGGGGGTTTGGAAAGATGCTTACGCGTTCGTGCCAGCCGAGGAGGACTGCGCAGTTGATGCCTTCACCCTCGCCGCCGAGTTCGAGGCCCTTGTAGAGGAACTTCATGAGTGCATCGCGCTGGTCGATCGAAATCGCCTTGACCGCGGCTCCAATCTCGGCCGACTTGGTGCTATTCACGATCTCAAGTAGCGATTGCAACGTCACTTGCTACAGTCCCAAGCAGAGTCGCAAAAAGAGCTGTCGAGTCAGCGATCGCTCTCTATCCACGGAAGGACCGGCAGGGGCCGAGTTGAAGCCGGAAATGCAATGCGAAGCGGGGACTTACCTTCGCCTCTTCAACCGTGGGACCATATGGGTAGTCGGAAAGAACCAGTGCGAGTGCGCCCGCGGTATCACCCCTGTGTCGCGCATCGCAGGCCGTGAACGATCAGGCGTACTTGAATGTCAGCGACCGTCGTCAAACGCCTCAAGGCATGACTGCTCCAGCTCCGCAGTGCCTTGCGCAAGGCCGTTCTGGACGAAAGCGACAACTTACCTCCCGATGAGTGTCCTGACTTCTGTAGACTTGGCCTTGGCCTCCGCTAGCGCTTGCTCTGGCGCCTTCGGGTACGGCTCCACCAGCTCCTCGTCTAGGATCACATCCTCGTCGTACTTGTCAATATCGATCTTGCGGAAGTTGTCCATTGCTCCTAATGTTTCTTCGTGGGTTGGTCAGAGATTCGAGTCGGGGGCGCTACCGTAGAACCGTTCGGCTGCCGCTCGTATTGTTGCTATTGGTGGTAGCGTGCTGCTGAAGATGATGCTGCAGTCGTTGCGGGTGAGAAAAGTGACGCTACGATCTGATGGCAAAAGGCGCGATACTTTCGAGCCGGATGTGTCGAGACAACGCGTGCAGTGTTTGCCGTGGTGGATGGTGAGACGAGCGATGATGGTTGAGGTGGAGCAGCAGCGTTCGCGGCTGTGTTGGGTGACGCCGATCCGAGAAGCGAATCGCATTTGCAAACGCACGGACGTGTTACGCCTTGGGCATGCTCACAAATTTGAGCGCCGAAAATCCAGCTCTGCAATTCGCGCCTCCTGAAGTCGGGAAGGGGAGGCCAAAAGAGTGCGTCGCGATGGGTCGCCTCGCTAATCTGGCCTCGGCGCTTGGCGCTCGACAGCGACAGTCGCACCGCATGAGGTGGCGGGGATGAAACGGTTCCGCCACGGAATGACATACTGACGGGCTCGATCTGGAGCGGAAGACAGTCGTCCGCCGCCAAGAAGGAGGCTTGAGCGGTGGTGCTCAGCCCACATGAGATGACTGCGGAATTGCGAGTCGCAGGCTCGGCCTTTCATATTCATGCGAGGGACGCGACACCTTGTCGCCATGCTGCCGCCGTTCCCGGGTGTGTCTGAGCTGACAATTGTCACTATGATAGTATGCGTCGTCAAGCTCGCATAGTCTTCTTGACTGTGCCACGATCACAAGACGCGCATGTGGCGTGGAGGGAATGGGCGGTTCCCTAAGGCGAGATGTACTTCCAAAAGCATGGCAAATAAACAGCACGAAACTGCCGCAGCTGAGGCGGTCCTTACCCACATTTCATCTGGACCTGATCAGCCGCTGCTCGAAAAGTGCCTGTCTGGCCGGCGGTTCATCAACGAGCCGTAAAGGGATTTGTAACTACGTTTGCAGAAAACACCAGAGCATCGGCTTTCGTCCCTCCCTTCCTTTAGCAACTTCAGCAACAGCATACATCGTCAGGACGGTTTCAGTCAGACCATGTCAAGAACAAGAACCGCCAATGTGCGACCCTTGACGTCAGCCGGTGCGCAAGCCGCCTCTGCTCGTCCCGTCACTTCCGGGGGCAGACAAGGTGCCGTGCAGCCGAGCGAGCCAGAAGCGAGTCAGGACAAGCGCTCTTCCTGTGGTAGCGCCGACACTGGTAGCGACTCTGACAATTCCGCATACCAGCCACCTGAAGAAGACGAGGACGATGATGTCTTTGCATTTGCACCTCGTATGTATGATCTGCATTGGTCTCGCACTTGGCTGAAGAGAGGACTGACTTCAATGACGCGTTGTTGCTCGCGATCCTAGCTGGACTTGGGGCGCCTACAGTGAGAGTGGTGCCTGCGTGTCCAGATGTGCCAATTCCGCCCCCCGCAGCCATGACTGCTCCAGGCAGGCCTGATTCCTTTGCAGCTCAAGCAGCAGCCCGAGAAAGTGTCTACTACTTTGATCAGCAGAGCGGCAGCGTCTACGATGCGCGTGGCAATCTCGTACAGGCCGCCGATCCAAACGCACCAACCTTGCCGACTCTGGCACAGCAGCAAGGCTCTACGATCGGCACGGCACACCACGATGGCTCATGCCAGCCTCTGCAGCGCTCGACCTCGATCAAGTGGCATCCCTCGATCGGCGACGGCAGCAATCTGACACGTCGTTTCGAGCAAGATTCCAAAGACTTCGACAGCCCGGACTCGCCCCGCCAGTCATGGAACAACTCGATCCACTGGAACAGCCAGCCAGAAAGCAATGTGCCCACTTCCGACAGCGCCGACCTCCTTCGTCACAATCTTCGGCCTTCGTTCTCGCACGCGGTCGAGTTGGAGCTCGAAGAAGAAGACGACTCGCCCTACCCGGAAGTGCGCGCGTCCGTGTCCAATGTGGACGATCCGACGATGCCTTCGATCACGTTTCGCTCGGTGCTGCTCGGTCTGGGTCTGTCCGCCTTTTCTTCAGCCGTCAACACTTTCCTCTCGCAGAGGAATCCGCCGATTCAGATCTTTGCCATCGTCATCCAGATCCTCGTGCACCCGTTGGGCACGGTGCTTGCCAACATCCTGCCCATCCGCTCGTTCCAGCTCAACCTGCCGCGATTGCGCAGTCGCAAACCGTCCAAGGGCAGGAGAAAAGCGTGGAGGTGGTCGTTCAATCCGGGACCGTGGAACATCAAGGAGCATACGGTGGTGCTCATATCGGCCACCACGGGACTCAATCCGTCCTACTCGCTCTCGATCCTCTTGGCGCAGGATTTGGCGCGCTTCTGGGACGATCCACGCTCGTTCCTGTATGGATTCCTGTCGGTGTGCGCACCGCAGCTGATTGGACTCGCGCTGGCCGGATTCGTACGACCTGTGCTTGTGGATCCCGCATCAATGCTATGGCCCCAGAATTTGGCCGTGTCGACGGTGCTCAACACACTGCATGCCGGCGAGGAGCCGTCATCGGGAGGTCGGACGCTCTCACGCCTGCGCTTCTTCCAGATCGCATCGCTGCTGGCATTCGTCTTTTACTTTCTGCCCGGCTACCTCTTCACGGCGCTGTCGATCTTCAACTGGGTCTGCTGGATCTGGCCCGACAATGTGCCCGTCAACGTGGTGTTTGGCGTGTCGGGAGGGCTTGGCGCGAGCTTTCTGACGTTCGACTGGACGCAGATCGTCTACCTCGGCTCGCCGTTGATCACACCGTGGTGGGCGCAGGCGAATCTCTTCGGCGGCTTTGTGCTGGGCATTTGGATCGCGGCGCCCCTGTTGTACTGGACCAATGCGCTGCATACCTCGTTTATGCCGCTCTTGTCCGGCAGCAGCTTCGACCGGTTCGGACAGCACTACAATGTGTCGAGGGTGTCGCCGGATCACAAGACGCTGCATGCGGACGCCTACGCCGCCTACTCGCAGGTGTACATCTCGGCAGGGCTGGTGGTGGCTTATTTTGGCGGATTTGCGCTCATCACAGCGGCCGCGGTTCACACAGCGCTATACCACGGCAGATTCGTCCTGGAGCGTCTACGCTCTCGCATGGCCGTATCGGACGACATCCATGCGCGGTTGATACGCAAATACCCGAGCGTTCCCGTGCTTTGGTACGTCGTCCTACTGGTGATCGGACTGGGCATGGCGATCTTGCTCACGGCGGCCTACGACACGGGATTGCCCATTTGGGCGCTTATGCTGGCCATCCTCATCCCCGTGGCTTACCTGCTGCCCTTTGGCTTGATCTTTGCGATCAGCAGTCTGCCTGCCGGAACGAATCTGGTGGCGGAGCTGCTGGCATCGTGGCTGTTGCCCGGCAAGCCGCTGCCGGTGATGATGTTCAAGACGGTGAGCCAGCAGACGACGACGTTCAGCCTGCTGTTTGCGCAAGACCAGAAGCTGGGCAACTATATGAAGATCGGGCCTCGGTCGGTGTTTTTGGTGCAGATCACCTCGATCATCGTCAGCAGCGCGGTGCAGATTGTCACCAAGGACTTTCTGCGCAGCCGCATCAAGGATCTGTGCGATCCTAACCAGGCGCAGCGCTTCACCTGCCCGACGGTCAACATCTTTTTCACCGCCTCGGTCATCTGGGGTGCCATCGGCGTCGAGCGCAGCTTCGGCAAGTCTTCAGCGTACCACTGGCTGTTTTACGGGCTTGTGGTCGGGGCGGTGGTGCCGGTGCTCACGTGGTACCTGGCGAGAAGGTTCAAGTGGCGCCCGATGCGGTTGGTATCCGCGCCCATCATCTTTGTCGGCATGAGCCTGGCGCCGCCCGCATCCGGGATCAACTTTACTTCTGCGATCCTTGTGGGCTGGTTCTTTGGCTACTGGATGCGCAAGCACCGGGTCGAATGGTGGTCGCGGTACAACTTTGTGCTCGCTGGCGCGCTCGACTTTGGCACCATCATGTCGGTAAGTGTCGGTTTAGCCGCGTTTGTAATGGCGTTTGGGACAGGTGACTGACGTCTTCTCTTCGGCTTGGGCAGTCGATCTTGATCTACGTTTTGCTCGAGATGCCCAATAACGGCTCGCTGGAGCTGCAGTGGTGGGGCAACGAGGTGTACGTGGCCACGGCCGATGTGCAGAGCACGCCACTTCTGCTTGCGCCCGAGACCGGGTTTGCACCACCACCTGGCGCCATGTGATCCACGCCGCTGCTTCCAAGTCTCACCCATGTACCGTCGAGTTGCCCTTGAATTTGTGCGTGACATCGATCTGCAGTCGTTCTGGGGCTGCTACGAAGCGTCTGTGTATTGAAAGCGTACGCTTCTTTTGTTGTTGAATGATCGAGGTACAAGTACAAGTGGTGGAAGAGTGCGAGGTCGGTGAGGGAGCAAGGTTCTACTTGTTCTTTGTCAATCGGTAGCTGAAGCGCGCTCGTGTGTGCGCGTATTCGCCGAGCTTGTGGCCGACCATCTCCTCGGTGATGGTCAGAGGGATGTGATGCTTTCCGTTGTGAACCATGAACTTGAGTCTGACGAGCGCACGAAGAAACGAGGTAAGTCAGAGTGTCTCTGCGAGACGAGTGTTAGGGATCAGACATACCCGACGAAGTTGGGAAGGATCGTGCAGCTTCTAGCGTTGGTTCGGATGGGGGTATTGTTCTTGAGCGCTTCCGCCAAGTTGGGGAAGGCGACGAAGAAAGGGCCTGCAAGGAGACGATGTCGGGCCGAAGTGAGAGTCAATACGGCGACATCCTTTGCAGTTCGTCGGAGTGCGCTTCACTTACCCTTCCATGCCGAGCGGGATCGTGCGACTACTGATGGCAACATGGTGCAGCGCCGGGTCTTGAGAGATGATGGAGACACGAGGTGCGGGCGGAAAAGTGCAAAAAGACAGATGTCAGTCGGGACAAAGTGGGAGCCAAGTGCCGAATTCCGATTCGGCTCGAGGAAGATCGCCGATCGCAGACGAAATCGCCGATCGTGGCCACGAGCGCTTGGCTGGTCGAAAGAATTTGTTTGCGTTCGCATCTCGGTTCGACCTCGGTTTCTCGTTTCACACGACCCTGACGAGCGGCGAGCACATGTCTTGCCACCCGCGCCGGGAAAGCGGCGTCGATCTGTGGACAGGCGCCTCGCAAAAACAGGCATCGAGACGGGCCGCCTCCGATCTCGCACAGCGGCTGCTCCGGTGTCTCCTCATGTCGACGTCGAGTGTGAGCTAGCTGTAACCGCTGGATGGCCCGTGATACAGCAGATTGAGTTTTGCGTCTCTGCGTGCCAACGCGAGTGGGCCGCGCGAGGGCGAGTCATGCGCAGGCCACCACGCCAACCTCACGCTGGGATCTCGTTGGCTGCAACCGAGGCGGCCAGATGAAAGAGTGGCGGCTCGATACTACTACACGGCTGAAAGCACGCAGGGTCTGCCACCAAAGCTCACACGGTGGGTGGGCCCGACCGCTGTCTCACCTATTTCGGAGCCACGCAGACGGGCACACGCCGCACGCACTCGCGCTGCAGCCAAACGCCCGTTGATGCAATCGGGGTGGGCCACCAAAAATTTCCACATTTCGCACGCACGTTTTCGAGTCAGAAGGTGTCGCCGCGCACCGACATGAAATTCCGTCTTGGCGGCCCGAATGACGCTGCCGCCCTCCGCCGCTCGTCCGGCTGACGGTCGGGAAAGCAGCAGCGCCTGTTGATTGATTCACAGCCGAGCTCGCGAAATACAGTTCGACCGCCTCAGGGCAGAACCCGACAAATCTCGCATGGAGGTCGGTCGGGTCGATCAGAGAGCCATCGATCGCATGACGCTCGCAATGCCCAGCCGGTGGTTGGTGCATCGAGATGCAGTCTCAACGGGACGCGCAGAAATCAAGAAGAAATAATGGCTTCTGAAAAGCCGCCGACCTGCTGCCACCGCCAAAAAAAGAAAAAAGAAAAGAGTGAAGCGGAAATGTGACTCTGCGAGATTTTCATTTCTCAGCCGAAGCGGAAAGTGGGAAGAAAGTGCGGCAGCCTCGCCTGCTAGGCCATCCTTTGCCGATGCTACGGTGGAGCGTCTTCATCAAGGTTGGTCTTGCGCAACCCGGAGGACAAGTGGATTGCACGGCCCCTCGAGCTGGTCAACTCTACTTTTAACCACCACCACCAACCTCTCATACCCCAACCGTTACCCGCGCTCTGCAACATCTCAGCCATGTCGTCGAGCATCGCCGCCAACACGGCCAACGGCCGTTCCGCCGAGCCCCTCTCGCAGGCCATCCTCCAGAGCGGATCCAAGGACGAATACGCCTACGTCAACGATGTGCGCGTTGCTGGCTTTGAGCCGCTGATCTCGCCCTCGCTGCTCCTCCACGAGATCCCCGTGCCCAAGGAGTCGCAAGCCACGATTGCCCGCGCGCGTGGTCTGTCGAGCGCCATCATCAACGGACAGGATGACCGACTGCTCGTCGTCGTCGGCCCCTGCTCGATCCACGACCCGGAGCAGGCCAAGGAGTACGCCAAGCTGCTCAAGGCCGGCATCGAGGAGCGCTGGTCCGAGGGCCTCGTGGTCGTCATGCGCGCCTACTTTGAGAAGCCGCGCACCACGGTCGGCTGGAAGGGTCTCATCAACGACCCGGACATCAACGGCAGCTTCCAGATCAACCGTGGCCTCAAGATTGCGCGCAACCTGCTCCTCGACCTCACCGCCCAGGGTGTGCCCGTGGCGTGCGAGGTGCTCGACACCATCTCGCCCCAGTACACCTCGGATCTGTACTCGTGGGGTGCGATCGGTGCGCGCACCACCGAGTCGCAGCTCCATCGTGAGCTCGTCTCGGGTCTCTCGATGCCCATCGGATTCAAGAACGGCACCGACGGTGGCCTCGGTGTGGCCGTCGACGCCATCCGCGCCTCTTCGCAACCGCACGCCTTTATGGGTGTGACAGAACAGGGTCTGGCTGCCATCGTGCGCACCGTCGGCAACGCCGATCTTCACATTGTCCACCGCGGCGGCTCCAAGGGCACCAACTACGACGCCGCGTCGGTGCAGTCGTCCAAGGAGCAGCTCAAGAAGGCGCTTCCGGACCGCCACCCGTCGATCATGATCGACTGCTCGCACGGCAACTCGAACAAGGACTTCCGCAACCAGCCCAAGGTGGTGGACGCCATCGCCGAGCAGCTCGAGCAGGGCGAGGATGCGATCACGGGCGTCATGATCGAGTCGCACCTCAACGAGGGCAAGCAGGGCGAGCCCAAGAACGGCCAGATCGACCAGCTCAAGTACGGCGTCTCGATCACCGACGGCTGCGTCGGCTGGGAGACCACCGTGCAGATGCTCGACAAGCTCAACGCCGCCGTCCTCAAGAGGCGCGCCAACAAGAGCGCCTGATCGTACCGCTCGTCTGTCGTAATCGTATCGTATCGCATTGTCTTTTGTCTTTTCGTGTGTTTGAAAGCGTCTTGAAGCCGGACCTCTCGGATCGTTGGACGAGATGCTAAAATGTGAGGCCGAAGACGGGCGCACACGCTACTCACGCTTAGTCAGCATGCACCTCGCATACCGAGAAATCGTCGGAGTCGCGGCAGCTGGAAGGAAACGACAATAATACGACCGGCGGGTGGGCGCGCCTGCATGCAATTGGCACGCTGCCTCGAGCTGGCGGCACCGGATGTGCGGTGGGCTTGGCACAGGGGCGATTTCCAGGCTGAATTCGCATGCGAAATTCGGTACAGCTGGCTAAGACCAACACTTTTTTGAAGATCGCATTTCGACTGTGGCGCGCGACAGCCGCGCTTGCAAACGCTGGCTCGCAAACGCTGGCTGCAGTTGCTGGCTGCAATTCACTGCTGGCGAGCGCCCACACAACACCCCGATCGAAGCCACCACCGCTGGTGCCCCCGCTACCTCCCTTGCTCGCCCCTCTGTCGTGGCCATTTCATCTCGTCTCCCTCTCTCACACTCCAGGGCCAAAACATCCGTCTCCATCCCTCCCCACTCTCCCTCCTCCTTTCTCTTCCCACCTCGTCCTTGTTCCCCTTGTTCCCCTCGATTCGATTCTCTGCGTGCTCTGACCGCACATCGACGCTTTTCACGATGAAGACGTCGCTCGTCTCTACGCTGCTCACGCTCGCCTGTGCCGGCCTCGCAGCTGCACACGGCTCGGATCTGCACGCCTCCGGATGTCGCCCGCTGCAAAAGCGCCAGCTCCAGCAGTCTGGCGGTGAGGGGCAGACCGTGACGGGCAGCGGAGGTGCCTCGGCGGCGCGTTACAGCTGCAACCCCGCCACCTGCCAGCTGCCCAAGTGCCACTGCGCCGACACCAACCCGCCCGGCGGCCTCGACCCCAAGGACGTGCCTCAGTTCATCGTCTTCACCGCCGACGACGCCGTGCAGGACTACACGATCAACTCGGTCAACCAGTTCCTCGCGCAGCGCAAGAACCCCAACGGATGCAAGCCCCTCATGTCGTACTACGTCTCGCTCAACTACACCAACTATGCCCAGGTCACCGAGCTCTACGTCAACGGCAACGACATTGGCGACCACACCATGACCCACCAGGAGCAGCCCGCCACCAACGCCGAGATCGACGGCAACCTCATCACGCTCAACGCGCTCGCAGGCATCCCCTACAAGTCGATCATCGGCTACCGTGCCCCCTTCCTCCTCTACGACCGCGCCAACCTCGAGCATCTCGCCAAGACCGGCTTCACCTACGACTCGAGCTCCACCGCATCTGTGCCCGTCACCGACCCCAACACCGACGCCTTTTGGCCCTACACGCTCGACAACGGCATGGCCAACGACTGCCAGTCGGTCGCCAACATCTGCGGCGGTCAGCCTCAGCTGCCCGGCTTCTGGGAGATCCCCATGTACGCCATCTTTGACGAGCGCGGAGCCGCGGGCGCCCATCTCATGGACCCCTGGCTCGACTCGGCCAACGCCTCGGACGTGCTCGCCTGGATGAAGAGCACCTTTACCGACCACTACAACGGCAAGCGCCAGCCGTTTGGCGTCTACACGCACCCCATCCACCTCGCCAAGGGCTACCCGGGCCTCCAGGACCCCGTCGACCAGATCAACATGCTCAACGAGTTCCTCGACTGGGCCACGACGTCGGCCGAGATGCAGAACGTGTGGATCATCAGCAACAAGCAGCTCATCGCCTGGATGCAGAATCCCGTGCCGGCGAGCCAGCTCAACACGCTCGACGCGTTCAAGTGCCAGACGGCCAACGTCGACCAGCACATCTGCAACGGCTTTGCCAAGAACAACGATCTGCTCGAGCACTGCATCTCCAACACGGCCGGCGACGCGCTCAACAACTCGCCCTTTTACACGTGCTACGGCTGCCCGCAGACCACGCCCTCGCCGCAGCAGCCCAACCCGCCGCAGAGGAACAACGACCGCTCGCTGCGCACGCGCATCCCCAACAACTGCGACACGCCCTTTTGGGATCCCGTCGCCGCCAAGTGTCTCTGCTCCGGCTCGCAGTGTGCCTTTACCGACTCGACGCGTCCCATCGGCCCCAACGGCGACAACCTCACCTCGACCGGCAGCCAGAACACCGGCTCGTCGTCGGCGAGCGCCAGCGCCAGCGCCGACCCGTACCGCAACTTTGGCGGCGCCGCGCGCAGCACGCCCGCCTCGACGCTGCTCATGTGGGGCTTGTCGGCAGCGGTGGCGCTGGCGGGCGGCGCTGTCGCCGTCCTCGTCTAGACGGCGTGGGCACCACCAGCTCCGCCTTTTTCTTTTTGTTTTCTTGCTCGTATCGTAGTTGGCTCGTCCTGTCCGCACGCGCACTGACCGTGACAGGAGCCGATGGACACTCGTTCTTCTTTTCGCTCTATTGCAACGCCGTTTCTATTTCACTCGCGAGTCCGAGCGTGTGATGGGGTATGAGGATGATTCGCGAGCAATGTGGATCAGTTGACGGGCTTGACCATGTCTTGAGACACGGTGTAGTAGACGAGCGTCGAGTCGGGCGCGATGATGGCGAGCAGCACGTGCGAGGTGTCGACAGTGTCAGTGGACGAGGCGGCGTGTTGGGTGAGCAGAGTAAAGATGCCGACGAGTCTGTGATGGTCAAGACGAAGGATGAGTTTGAGCGACGGCAATGCAAGTGGAATTGAGGTGGGAAGTGACTTACTGCGAAGTGGTGAGGTGTTGCGAGATGGTCAGAGGAATCACGATCTCGTATGCAGTCTGTCATCGAAAGGCAACGGCAGGGTCAGTCCACCGAAGAAACGCTTCTCGGAGCTGTAGAGGGAGGAGTGCATACTGCGTTCTTTCTGCGGCCCTTGATGGCTGCCAGCCCAAGCGCCAGCATGAGATCGCCATCTTGGCCTTGTCCCTGCTCGGGCGGGTTGACGAGTCCGAGCCGTGTGTCGCTGCTCCTCCAGTTGGCTAGCGTGTTTTGCACCAACTCGCGCGCCTCTGACTCGGACAATCCTTCCAGCTCAGCACTGCCCAAAACCGCTGTGTTGCTTTCGCGTGCTTGCTGCGGATGGCGCAGTGAAAGAGGCTCAACGACGTCCCATGCAGCCGCGCCGTTCTTGAGGTCGAGGTAGGTCTGGAAGATGGCCGATGCCTGCGTCGGGTATGTGCGGCAAAGCGAGGCTACTGCGGGATACGACGGATGCGATGCGGGCGATCCGAGCGATACATTCGCTTCTGCTCCCGCCTCTGCATCTAACAGGGCATCATCTGTGTGCGTCGGCGGGGTTCAAGGCGAGTCAGCATGCGCGCCATGAAGGCAGATCAGCGAGGACGCGGTCCGAGACCTACATTGTTGGCGTTTCGACAGCTGGTGCGATGTGGGATCGGGCAGCGAGCTCGATTCGCCGCTACCGACTCGGTCTGACGATAGCGTAGATGTAGATGCCATTGTCCGAAGTGATTTGCTATGGAGGAGATGACGGCGAAGGAACGAATGGCAGCTGCGAGAGGACGCAAAAGTTGCTGCTGCAGCTCCACATTTCTTCAGGGTCCCCAAAAAAATCCGCACCCGTGTCAGATCGTGACTGGCCAGCTCAGATCGGCGATGCCAGGGTCGAATCTCTGATGGACGAGTTGAAATCGATGGCGAAATGCAGAAATCAAAGACTTGCTCTTGCAATAATTTCGGTGGAAAATAGGGGGAAGAAAAATCAGGGGCTGAAAATGGGCGAAAAAGCACGGCGCGAGGTTTGACACTCCGACTCCCTCCGCCGGCACGACGTGCATCCGTAGACATTTGGCAATCATGCCTTTCTCTCCCTCTCGCCCCCCTCTCTGTCGGCGCCTCTGGCCAGGCAGTCAGACCGAGCTGCCATGCCGAGCTCACCTGCCGAGCCGGACATCGCCCATCCGCTTCAAATACAGAGCGCCCACCGTATCGGAGAATCTCTTATCGTGAGCTGCCGAGACAGGCGATGCGCCCCAGTTGCCCGTCCGATCCGACCACGCGGTCAGCACCACATGCATCGACGAATCCCAACCGCCGGCATGGCGCAGCCCCGCTCGTCCGACCGTGCCGCTGCCACTCTCCTCCGCCTCGGCTCAACGATCCACCGCGCGGCTGCCAGCTTCCGGTCCACGCAACAATCCGCCTCGGAGCCTGTCTCTGGCACAACCCGCCCAGCCTGGTACAGATGACACTCCCGCATGCTCGCGTGCTCGGCTGCATCCAATGCGTGGCCCCGTCCGCATCGCATGGCGACAACCGCGCTGCACTCGCACTCGCCTCGCGGTCAACAAACTACGATGGCATCGTATCGTGAGACTACGATTCCTTGCCGCGACGACGGACGCTGCTCACCTCCCTGAAAACGAGGCTGCCACGAGCCAGAGCATGCGTTGCCGTTCCCACCCAATATCTCAGCACACGGCTTTCTCCACGCGGCACCAGACTACGTCCAAGTCGTATGGCAGCGCATACAGCTGCTATCTCATAGGCTCGATCCTTGGTCCAACCTCGTCCCCTTCTCGATACTATATACACGATTCATCCCGACATGCAATCGTCCTGGCGCCTACGACGATGACCTCTTTCCTGACCACCTCTTGCCAATAGATCGTCGTCACCGCTCCTAGACCAAAGTTCGCCCATAGAGAACCTAGATCCGCACGCCATGCATTCGGTCGGCGACGAGGTGCGCGTCTCCCTGCTGGCCTCCAACGATCTGCACAACCAACCAGGCCTGCCTCGCCATCTCGACGCTTCGTCCTCCACCACCTCGCTTTCGTCCGCCACCATCTTTGACAGCGAGGATCCAGCCACGTACGACACCGCCTTTTGCCACCGCCGTTCCAGCTCGAATGGGTCCGCAGACACGCTCGTCGGCGCACTCGTTGCGAAACGCTTCCCCGCAATCTGGCATAGACTGCCCTTGGCCCGCTCCGCGCACGCATACAAGCCCGTGGCCACGGATACAGAGCCTCGCACGCCGAGCCTCGACGGCAGGAGGCTCAGGGTCGTCGGTGTGCTGCTGCTCGCTGCGTTCCTGCTCGGCGTCGGGGGCAGCAAGCTGCACAAGGCCTTGGCAGGAAAGCCCGCAACGCCAGAAGATCCTTTCCTGGCCTCGCTGCACGACGACGATTCCTGGCAGGACAAGGCCGTGGTCACGCCCACCTTTCCGAGACCTTTGCATCCGACAAAGCCCGAGGAGATCTTGCCGTTTGGACTGCACCACTACGATGCCGACCCTCCGCCTCTTCGTGCGCCAGCATCGTCGGCTCCCAATCGCAGGCAGCTCGACGTGATACCGGCACAGCGCATCTTGTTTGACAATGCAGAATGTCTCGACGAGTGGGTCGCCGAGGGCAAGGTCTGCGATGAATTGCAAGGTGCATATGGCAGGCGACCCGATTTGACCAGCGTCGATCTGCTCTACTCGTGGGTGAACGGCTCCGACTGGCGCCACTCGAGCGCAAGCTGGATGCACGCCTACAGGCCGACGGGACGGTGGCAGGAGTATGCCGAGCAAGACCTCTTTCCCTCTTCGCACCAGCTTGGTCGTCGCGACGCTGAACTTCAAGAGCAGACGCCGACGAAAAGGACGGCACCGACCAAGGCGCCGGTGCCGAGCAGGTTCAGAGACCACCAAGAGCTGAGGTACTCGATGCGCTCGGCCGCCAAGCATCTGCGTGGCTTGAGGACCATCCACATTGTCTCGCCCGACTTTTCGGCTCCCTACCATCTGCAGCCCGGCGCCAAGGTGCAAAGGAAGAAGCGCTCGTCGCAGCCGCCGTTTCTGCTCACCGTCGATCGGCTAGAGCAGGGGTTCGTCGGGCTGCCCTCGCAGCTGCGTCGCGTGCAGAACATTGGCACGGACCGATTCACAACCCACGAGCACCAGCTGCGCGAGGGTCAGGTGCCCCAGTGGCTCGCACTTACCGAGGCAGCATCCGTCCTTGCTGGTCAAGACGCCGAGTCGGACAGCCCTAAGCAGTCGTTGTTGCCCCACTCCATCGCAAAGCTGTTCGCGCTCGCATCGGACGACGAGAAGCCAGCGATCTCGCCGAACGTGCGCCTGCATCACGACTGGAACGCAGTGACGGATAACTGGCTCGTCTCGCGTCCCGTCACGGAGCGGGAGCATCAGCAGAGGGACGACTACCGCCGCGCCGCGCTGCCCACGTTCAACTCGATGGCCATCGAGTCGATGCTCGGCGACCAGCCCGGTCTCGCCGACAGCTTTGTATATGCCAACGACGACTTTTTCCTCCTCGACGACGTCAGTGTCGCCGACGTCACCTCGCCGCTGTTTGGGCCCGTGATGCGGCTCGACTACAACCTCGTCGTCAAGGGCGTCCAGTCTCCCGACGCCACGCCGGGCGAGTGGTCGTCGCTGTGGCACACCAACTGGCTGCTCGACCAGCGCTTCGGAACGCGCAAGCGGCCGTACGTCCAGCACGTCCACAAGAGCTTCTCCAAGGCCCTGCTGCACGAGACTCGCATGGGCTGGGCCGCCGAACACGCGCGTCTCGGCATCAACAGGTTCCGCAACGCCGGCGACAATATCGTCACCCACTTTCTCGCCTACTACAACGTCGTAGAACGCCATCGCGAGGCGATGCTGTGGAGCTTCTTTATGCTTCGCTTGGACAGCGACGGCGATGGTACGGTGTCGGACGCCGAGAGGCGAGGCGCCTTGCTCGCCCTGGGTCTTACGCAGCAGCAGGCTGCCAGAGTCGAAAGCTCCCGGTCGGAGGCGGATTGCAACGTCGAGGTCAAGCTGGCCAGGCGCAGCACCCTCGCCAAGGACCACGCCAACGAAGCGCTTGTCAGGGCCGCATGGCCGGTGCCGCTAAAGAGCCGCTACTCGTTTGTCTCGCAGGATGGATATCCCCTCGGCGACGTCTCGGACCGCGTCATTTATCGCCGCAGCCAGCCACGCATGCAGCGTCGCACCTCGCCGCGCGATCCGTACTGGCAAGCGTCGCATCGAGGCGAGAGCGGCTACTTTGGCTGGCCCGACTTTGTCGACGATCCGACCGCGCACCCGAACAACGAGTGGCACAACAGGCGCTTCGACCGCCCTGCATGCCAGCTCGACATCGGTCGGTGCTTCGTCAGGCCCTTCGGGGGAGCGGGGGCGCAGTGGCAGGATGTGTTTACGCGCTTCGCCTTCGAAGACGTTGCGTGCGGTGACTGCCTCATCCACCACCTCGTCGGCCAGAGCGGCACTCGCGGCCTGTCTGCCTTTCTCCCAGAGAAGCACCGCACGTACGAGGGTGAGACGGAGCCAGAGGCGCCTGGGCGCAACGCCGTGCCGCATCTGCCGCTCTCGTCAGTGTGGAACGCCAGCGCGCCCGTAGACGCCGCCGCCGAGGCGGAGCGGGCCTGCTTTAGCGTCGCCTGTGTGCTGGCCAACTCGGGCTTCGGGCACGGCACCCGGCTGCGCGACTTTGCCAGCAGGCTCATCCAGCGCTACGCCTACACGATTGCCGAGACACCCATCGAATTCCACCGCATGGAAACGCTCTACTCGGCCACCAAGATCATGCAGGCGCTCCAGTCGGCCGCAGCCAGACCGTCGGCTCTCGACCGATTCGCACAGGCAAACGGAACAGACACACCCGCGCCCGCGTGGGTATCCTCGCAGAGCAACATCGACACCCAACGCCCGGCCTTGGTCTGCATCAACGACGATATCACGGACAAGTGGGCCGACCAGGTGGCCGCCAAATTCACAGCGTGGATGCACGACATGTGGCCCGAAAAGCAAGCCTGGGAATTGTAACAGCCCATCGACCATTGATGCATCTGCAATATGCATGGACCCTTTGTTGTGAATTGAACGCAGCGACGGTCAGCCGGCAAAATGCAACTTGGACACTCCACATCGCCTTGTCAGCATCGCAAAGCAACTCCTCCTCCCGTCTTCGCTGTCCGTGCATTTGTACAGTCATCATTCAGTCTGCAAAG